GTCTCTAGAACCGAATAATCGCCGTTTGTCGATAATATGATCAACGGTCCAAAGAAGAATGGAAATGTGGGTCATATTTCTTTCTTGCAGAAAGGCACTGGGGTTTGCGCGATTGCTGGAACAATCCACTTGAACAGTCTCTGGTTTGTGATGTCCGCTGCATTCAAAGCTTTCAAAGGCCTTTGATATAAGACAACGCTTACTGCATTGTACAGAGAACATTTCTTTGTCGAAAGGTCGGTCTTTTTCGGATTAAACGGGACGTATTGGAACGTATTGAAAAGCACCGTAAGACTTGAGAACATCTCATTGAGGCAAGCTTAATGGAAATGCAAAACATAACAGAAGCTACAGTAGGATACGTGATTCATCATTATACGTTTGACACTCGTCTTCTGGGTAATGGTCCCAAAGACGGCTAACTCTGCTACTCAAACTATGCCTGAACTTTATGCCTAGGTGACGATCACAATTACAGCAAGGACATTGGAAAACTTTTTGCTTACTCATTGGTGCCATAAAATTCCCTTTCAATGGCTTGCTCCTAACTCTTTCCTCTTTAAGGAAATGAGTATTTTAGATATGTTCAAATCATCCGCGCGTTGCCAGAACATGTCTGACGGCTACTATGTACATGAGTACGACTCGACGAAGTACTACTTGTGTAAAGGTGGTACCGAAAGCAAACTGGAATGCGACGACAAGCTTGTGTTCAATCCGGTCACCACGTTGTGCGAAGAACAGCCGAAATCGAATCTTTCCTTAATAGGTATGGCAGGCTTTATTCAATTCATTGCAGACACTACTGTTTAAACTCTTCCAACGTACTGCTATGCTGATACGCTTCGTCGTTAATCTACCAATGAAATAAGTCTCATTAATCTCGACACGTTCTGGAAATATTTTGATGTTCCCAGAAGATAGCTTCATTACTGCCATATAAAGAAGAATAATATGATTCTCTACTTAAGTAGGTACTTTTGTTTGAATCATAAATTCTGCGACTCCGTTCGATTTTTGAACAGGTGCATGTGGGAACAATATCTGTTGTCAAAGTCAAGGCACAGTTTTCTGCGTGGCTCCCTATTAACCATGAAGTTCGCCAAGGCGATGTGTAATCGTACTTACAGCTGAATATTGTTCTCGACTTTTCTATTTGAAGGCGTGCTGACATTTGAAAAGACGAATGCCTCATTTTATAAGGAAGTCGCAGTTCAAGATAACTGGTTAGGTGACTTACTGACCAGGAGTTCGCAGACGATATTGTTCTTGTGCGTAGGTTCGAGCAGTGGGTTCTGCGGTTCGAGTGCTACTGTCTGCAACGCAGCTATGAACGCATGTCTCTATCATCGTGTTCGGAAGCAAAAATTACGAGGGACCTATACGAACAGCGGGTATGAAAGTTAAATGAGGTAAAGCGATTCCGGAAGTTGACGAAATTAACCATCTTCACTCCATCCTCTCTAGCGTCTGCATTTTCCATTTAAAGATAATTGGTGGTTCACTTTCGCCTCCAATGCTTTTGTCCTCTCTCTATGAAAATCCTCACATAACTTGCGTCAGTCAGGTTATTGCTCCTCTACAATATGGAAGCAGTTTGTCCAACGCAGGAGCTGTGATGACCGCTGCACTGCGCATAACAGCGATGGCTTCCACGCAAAATTAAGAATGATTCATAGGACCAGAAAACGAACGAGTACGTCATATTCAGGGCGCAGGAGTGTACCGTAGGTGAAGAAACTTAGAAATGGAGTCTAACCGTGTCTCAAAGGGAATAAGCAATTTACTTCGGCTCACGAGTCTTTCGTTTGTAGTCGAAACGCCATATACCGAATCCAGGAGGCTAGCCAGAGGACCCAGGGTGGATCTGCTTTCGGAGAAGAATATTTCTTTCTGCGATGCAGTAACCGGCGCCTTGCAGCAAAGGTGTTAAAATTCTGCGAATGCAGCTAGCGTGACAATTCAGGGACATTCTTTTTATGCAAATTACTCAAGACGATGATCTCTGCGATCGCGAAATGAATTTACACTTAGAAACTATATAAATGAACTAAATTTACTCTGAGGTGCAAAATTTAGAGCCTCAATCCCTTTTAACATCAAGACAAGTTGAAATTATCACACTAGGGTCTCAATGCCGCACGTCTCTGTATCATCGTTTGCTGATTTGTATCAGTGTAGAAATAAGCAATTCTTATTGTAAGTTTTTTGTTAGTTATTTTTTCGTTTTGAAGCAGACCAATTGCCAAGGAATTTAAGGTTTAAACAAACATTTGGTTTAAATCTTGTGCGCATCCTCACAACTGCTAGTGAGTTATCAACTGAGTCAAGGCAATTGCTGCTGTAAGAGGCGCTCTTGGAGCATCACCATACACATCGTTCATTCTGGCAAGAGATCATCGGAATGTCATACTGTCGTATTGTTCGCAGGTCAACGATCTGATTCTATTTCTCGATTGGTTATATCGAAGCTATATGGGGCGAATTCTTTGTTGAGGGGAATTTTCAGTGAAGAAGAATTTTTTCCGTTGGTCGAATTCGAGCTCAACACTTGCACTAAGTTCAAAGTAGAGTGGTTACCCTCTACTCCACTTGCCTGCTGAAAACGCGGTATCTGACCTATGATGCTTGTCCGATTGGCCGCGGATTGAGACCATTCGGAAAGCCTCATGCACTGATGCCTCGACAACATGACATTAGCAGAGGAGGTCAGAGGATAGATGCATATATAAAATAGTGACCGTGTATTCTGTAAAACATTGCTTTCGTGCAACGGGCAGCCGAGCTCTTTTGAGGTAAACGGTTAGAGGTGCAAAATGGCAAAAATGTTGAAATGGTCGAAAGTATTTTTTGAATTATGTTTATTATGAATATATATTGAACATCGTGATTTGCTGAGAACAGAAATTTTCCTATCAAATAAGCTGCTTGCTATCCTTGGATATTTGGAAATTATCGATGTGCCAAATAATGATAAGTGAAACTTGAAGCACTCTGGATTTTAGATTACGATGGCTTCTGCAAGCATCATTTCAAAGATGGTGTCTATCGACATCCACACGACCGTACGGTCGCAGTCGTGTGCCTCAAGGGGACGGCATTTTTGATCGACTGCCGTCTAGTGAATAACAGCCAGCTGGACTTTGGCCATGATGACGACAACCACAACGACGACGACGACGACGACGAAGACGACGACGACGACGATGATGACGACCGCGACCACGACGACGATGATAATATTTGTTCGGGCCACTTCGATGAGGACGACATCGACGACATCTTTCCTTGGCTAGGCACCGGTAATTATGACTCTTTGACGCCATGGACTGCTTTCTTCTTGATGCCATACTTTCTATTTCGCAATTTATGCTATGAACCTCCTCCTAGCAATTTCCGTTGAATGAACACGTATGTGTGTGTAGTGAGGGCGGACCTGGTTTGTTGAGTACAGGCTAAACATTTGTAGGCGATATACTTGATCGATTGACTCATTAATCAGCTTGATGCGTAATAAATATAATGATTTTAATAACGATAATTATAAGAGCTGAAAGTTCATTCATGAATTTGATAAATAAGCTCTGGAGTTTACCTTTACACCAGGTCTTTTGCGATCTTTTAAACTACATTCCGATCTTGATGGTAGACACGGCTAATTGCAGGGTGGGTCAATCGATTTCACGGTAGCCAAATTCTCAAACAAGGTATTGTGAGTTTTCCGATTGGGATACCCGCTTTCCCTGCTTATGAGTTGCGGAAGGATCCTTAGAAAGGAACCAGAGTACTGATGCCGCTGACTGTAGATCTAGCTCTGAAATTAGAAGTGCCAAACGTTTTTCACCGATGGCATATCAACGAAGAATCAGCTGTACAGTGGAATTTTCAGCACAGCATACCGCATCAAGGGCACCGTGAAAGAAGGTACCAAAAGAGATGTTTATTCTAGGGAGTGTACGGTATGTTTACTTCCTACAGGGTTGTTTTCCGTTCATTTGTCATGCATTGCTGAATCCATACATGTTGTTAACGATTAGTGCCTCTGATTTGGTTGAGCCTGCGTGACAAACCACCAGACTCTCGTTTACCTTGATCAGATTCTCACGACGAAGAAGCGCTGTCCCCTCGCTCATTACTTCGCCCCATCTGTGAGTTTACACCGCACATTGTTACATGGCATCTGAATATGTGCATGGATATGCAAAGAGTACCGTATCACTGAGTTGAGCTCTACAAAGATGTGTTCCAAAACCATTGAAAAGCCGTAATTCTCACATATTGCCAAATTTTATCTTTATTTGGCCATTTAATGACTTCTGACTCTTCAGCCTCAGTGAGCACACTTGAAACCTTAATAATGTAAGCCGACACTAACTCAGTGGCAGTTTAGAGACCCGGCCGTCTCATTCGTACGAGGCATACGACGAAAACACGAAAGAACCACAGGTCAGCACAAAGTACGGTGCAATGTATTTTCCTTACCCGTGGAAACCTGCCGTAAACCCTACAAAGGGTTGGTGGTCAAGAGTTGACAGACCTTTTGTGTTATACTTTCAATATAGATATGTCTAGAAGAACAGTACATTGACTGCGAAAACTGACATTAAGAATGTGAACGATCGTCGTAGGATTGCCGAAAAAAGGCACGATGAAGTTCTTCCATCAGTCCGTTTACCTTCTGGACAAAAGACGATGATTTCTGCTTAAGTGGTTTGCCAACTGACACTCTCGTTAGACATGGCACACAACCTCCAACCTCGATATCTTTAGATATCAGTTAAAGAGTTTCAGATTTTCCTCACTTTAGCCAAAACATTCGACTGTTCCGCGCTAGAGGATGGCAAGTACCCACTTGGCGGCATCAACTGTTCGGCCTTCTTCTTTGAATGTGTCGGCGGCTTTCCGTTCGCCACTCGTTGTCCCCTCGACTACGTCTTCAACCCGGCGACCAGCTCGTGTGCCGAAGTGTCATCGGTCACTGGCTGCGCTTCACGGGCTGCTGTTCAGTGGGACGACGATTTTTGTCGAGGAAAATCGAACGACTTCTACGCCTCGCCGAACGACTGCTCGACCTACTTCATGTGCATTGAGGAACGGACCGTGCAACTGCATTGTAAACAAGGTACGATTTACGACGCGGAAACCAAGAGCTGCCGCTCTTTCGCTGACGCCGTGCAACCTTGCGGGAAAAGAAAAAGGGGTAAGTGTTTGAGTGGCATTTTTCTGTGACGTCTACCGAAGCAACAGGAGGTAGCGCCATGAGGCTTCTTTAGGATCGGGCGGAAAATGCCGAGCCACAATTAAAAGGCGAGCTTGGCCAGACGCAAAGTGCAACATGTTCAAGGAATGCACCGATCGAACCTCAATGCAGTACTACTGTGAGGACGGTTTTTTCTTTGATAATCGTACTCACACTTGTGAGTTAGCGAAACCTCACGGCGAATGCAACTTCGATCGATACCGATGTAAGTCTACCGCTCGCACGCGTCTGTTTGTCTGAGTTTTGTTTTTTGCCGTAAGTTCTGTACTATTAATTTATGGCTGACGTCCAGATATTGCTCACTTTCAAGCTGTTGTCCCTGTTCAAACATGTTTTGGTCCGGGCTTCCTTAACGCTTCTGAATTTAAATCTCTTTTCGGTGGAGATTGCCCTTGTGCACAGTCAATCTATTGAGTAGTATTCAATAGATGGTTTTTAGGAGGCACATTGTTGTACAACGTAAGACTCATCTTTTCAGTCTCCCTTGATTACTGCGGCATCCTCAGTCTGCTTCTTGCAACTCTTTGTTACTCTTTATTGTCTTTGTCTCACAAATAAGCACAGTTCCATTTCGTGAGGTTGTGCATGGAGGTTTCCTCTTGTTCCTTCTAAGAGGAAATTACCCATCTCTATGATGGGTAATACTTCGTCATACTTGCAGGAAACACAGTGGACCCATCTGTGCTGTCTGTCGTGCGATAGTTTTGCTTTGAATTCGTTTTGTCGACTCCAATGGGTGACCTCAGGCACGAATACATATTTCAATGTAGGGCGATTCTTCGTAGTCTTCCGCTAAGGTGACTCCATAAATAAAGACCATGGAATTAATCTCTTGCATAATAAACAATGTTCGGTCTTCAAGTTTAAGGTATTGACCGCTGAACCGATAATCTTCTACTTTCTGTAGTCCATACACATACAGAACAACAGATTGCATCAACTGTTCAATTCAAAGACTCACTCTCTTTTTATTTTCATTTTTTTTTCAGATGTCCCATTTTTCTAGCTAGTTGCTGTTCTAAATTTGTTTTTGCTTTCGATTGCAATCTTATTGCGATTGCATTATTCCTGAAAATTTTGTGAGTCTTCTACTCTGGTGTGTGAATTAACGTCGGATCAAGGAGTGAAAGATCTAACGCTGCTTTTGTTGAAGACGTGAATAAGACAGAATCTTCAGTGATCGTGTTCAGGGGATTAACGGCGTCGTACGCAGCTGAATATCACCCACGTTGAGTTTCTACAATTTGAGTAGCACGACGTTGAATGACAGCTCGTGTGGACGAACAAAATCTCCATTGTCTACTGCTCGCGCTCCGTATCTTCGATAGCTGAGTCAAATTGGGGCATTGATACTCCTCTTTCGAATCCATACTGGTTTGAATAATTATATATCTAGACCAAGCTAGTTCTCGACGTTTCTGACCCATAAGCCTGCTTCACAACATTAACCAAGTCAAGATCGCAATGGCGCAGATATAACGTTCCTCATTACGGTAGTTACTGGTAAAATGCGATTAAGTTGTGTCGTTGGTTTGCACCAGCTTGGGTGTTAGTTCTGACCACTCTTCTCTTGGGTTGTGTCTTCCCGTTACAAAAATATGACCACTGTAATCAAAGAGGATTGTGGAATACACGAACATGAGGCAACGTCAGACAGTTCCGCAGAAACTCTGGACATCAGTGCCGGAAAGCTCAGAATCACGCCATCGGTACGTCCTGATAATGTTAAAGGTTACGCAGTAAAATATAACTATTTTCCTGAATAACGATTGATATAACAACGAAATGACGATGTTCCACGTTCATTCATTAATTCATTGATTCTTTTACTGATTCATACATTCACTCATTCATTCGCTCGTTCGTTCATTCATTCATTCATTCATGCATTCATTGATAAGGATAATCAGTCATCTACGTAGCGGTGTCTGTGATGGCGTTGCGTTGCATATGTCAATTTCTTCCCAAATTGTACTTTAGATCGCTCAGACTTCTGCCAACGGCAAGATAGACAGGGCATATATCCAAATCCTGTTAATTGCCACAGAGCTGTGATTTGCGTTGATGACGTAATGCTGCAATACGAATGTCCAATGGATCGTCATGATTTCAATCCAGAAACACTTATGTGCATACGCAGTTATCCTGGTTGTTCTTGAACAAGCGAAATTGTCGTGTTATTATTTTTTATTGAAAATATCGATGTGAATTGTTACTGTAAGTGCATGACTAAATCCACAGTAAAAGTCTAAATTACCAATATCACAAACATGGGTACCTAGGCCGAAGTATGTTAATCGATGCATAACTGATCATAGACCAAATTTAACGCCATACTGTACTAACAATATGGAGATGGTGCAATCGACAATGGTCTGAGTTACCTCCAAAAATTACTCATGTCTCTACCTTGACGAAAGCTCGTAAGACACGGGTCAAAACATATGAGTCAGTGACCATTTTCTGGCATTATGCACAAAATTGATCGTTTTTAGGCTGTTTTGAAACATTAGTTTTTTCATTAAACAGGTCGTCTTAAATGTTTCATCCCCCAATGCTGTAACGCTAATCTTAGGCATGACAGTTCATCCAGCTTACTAGGTGATTTGACATACCAGGAGGGCAGGTTCGTGACGACGTGCTCAAGATATGTCAGTGCTGATGTGTTGAGGAAGGAAAATCGGTCAGCCGAACGACCGTACAGATAGGCATCAAGAACAGCCACATGGAAAATTGCAATTTATACTTGCTTCTAAAAGTAGAACTTTTGCAGATGCCAACAATGTAATTAACTGGCGCGGAAAAACAGTAAAAGAGTTGTTTTTTCACGCTGTACAAAGTGACCCAGACCTCGAGGTTCGTCAAGGTTACCGCCAGCGATCAGTGAAAGTTAGAATTAAGCTAGTTATCAGATGATCGCTGCACACCTCTGTGAACAAGAAAAGGGTGTGTAGCATCTGCGTTTAGTCCGTTTGACACATATGGGTCAGGAGTGCAATTAACTATTTTCTACAACGTCTTCCCTTAGGCGGATTAATTCGTCGCATCGCCAGGTGAACGTCGTTGTTCTTAATTTTTTCTTTGTATTTTTAAATTTTGTTAATGCAAGTTGTCCCTTCCTCAGCTCTTCGAGAGTTGACGATTTCTTGCGGTAATAAACAGAGCCCTACCGCCGTTTCAGCCTCGTTACTCAAGTACTCACTT